ACTGGATAGGTGTACTGGTGAAATATATATGAGGCAAAATAGGTTATAGTTACAGTCAGGCTCCTGGCCAATAAAACAGAAAATAAGCAAGCATAGTTACAAGACAAAATAAATATAGTCCAGGGCTGAATCTTGCCTAAGCTTTAGAAGTTCAGTCGAGGAACTTCTCACAGTTGAAGTGTCACGTGAGTGACGGTCTTATTCAACCTGCAAGTGGGAACTGAGGCAAGAACAAGCATCCAGTCTTCCAAGAACACTGCTTCAGGTCAAAACCCATCTTAAAAACTTCACTGTATAAATGGAATACATGAAAGTACTGCATTTATCACTCTTTGTAGGCCAACTAGATCTAACCAACCTATATTATAGGTGTTTTTTATATTTTGCGATTACCTCAAGCCAGTCTGGTCTTGTTAAGATCACATTCAGCTGTGGAGGCACAAAGTTTGTTCTTTGAACTAGTCTCTTACACCCATTCCCACAGATTCTTCTTTTCCTGTTGTTTCTTTTTGATCTTTGTCTAGAAGCCTCAACCTATATAAAGCATGCTACAAAAAAACCTCCGGAAGCCTATTAATACATTCCCTTTAGCATTCTCTGAGTATATTTCACACTTATCTTTAGATTTGAAGCAGTCTTTTCAGTCTGTGCTAGTACAACACACGGAGTTCTGGACGTGAGATCCCAAGTACTCCTCAAAGCTCCCAGAGCCCTCATCCTGCAGGACCTCTATCTTACTGATACACCTGATGCTCTGAACAGTGTTTTCCTGATTTCTAGCAATTGTATTTGCAGCTGCATTAGACTTTGTAGTAATTGCCATGGATAACTCTCCTTCAGTACTTCTTTTGGGTTCCTGATGGCAGTTGCTTTCTCTTGGTCCACGCTCCATCAGCCATGTGGTTTGCAGACCGTGGGAGCCCATCCTGACACACAGTGGCTAAATAGCCCTAGCCTGGCCCTCGCCGCTCAAACCCTCTCACCTTCCCTGCCGCCTCACCTCACTCCCTCAGCTACGCAGGTACAGCTTTTTGCAGGAGCGTGTGGTGATAAGGGGTTAAAGACTGGGGTTAAGGTTGGGCTGAAAATATTTGCGATATTTTAATGAAAAAGGGCATGTATATCAAAGGTATTTTAAAATAGCAGTCATGTGCCCCAGCTCTTTGACGTGGGTCATTTGACGGCTTCAGGGACATCTGTTTGTACGACTGAGAGGGTGGTGTGGAGGCAGTATCTGCTGCTGATAGAAATGCATGTCAAATGGTGAGCTTAGTAAGTGTCTTTGCTGAGATAGGTGTGTTGACTTCTCTGAAGAGATTATGCCCTTGTTCTCAGCCTGCTTGCCAACTGGCTGTTCCCTTTGTCTGGGCTTCTGATATTCATATAAAGAGTGGTACAAAACCCTGGCTTGTTCCGTGCAGTGCATGATCTCTGTTCTCTGCAGATAAATCTTTCTGCCATGATGTAGCAGATCAGTCCAACCAGCTTCTATTATCCGTTTCAGAAGCTTCAGTGGCCTTTACATGTTTCATCGCAAATAATTTCTGACAAATCCACAAGAATACCAAGCAAGAAGGAAGAGAGTGAAGGTTCTGGTCACTGTGCTCACAACCAAAGCAACACGTCAGTGGGCAGTACGAAACATCCCTCAGCTCCTTCCTCAACCGGCAAACCACTGATTATCAATGACTCTTCAAAAAGCATATTCTACATCCATCATACGACCAGCTCACTTCCACATTACTCTGAGATTCTCCCCCCACATCAGCTGTGAAACCATTAGCCAGCCAAGCCTGCTAAATTATATGACAGAAACATTTTTCCTCAGCTGGGAATAAGTATCTCTCTCATAACAATCCCCAGGATGATTGGATCCTACTCCTTTCACAGAACTGAAACTGCTCTTTTCTGAGAGGAGTCAAGTACCAACTTTCTTCTGACCCTGCCTCCCTCTTCAGCTGTTGACTGTGAAATTCTCCTTATTTACCTGGCACTTTTACAGAGATCGGTAGCGCATCACTATACTTACTTGCTCGTAACATCTTTTCTCCTGTAATTGACAGTAGGTGTCTTTCTACAGAAAAATATCTCTGTGATGTTAAAGCTGGGTATCCAACCCTTTGCCCCGTTACTTTCCCATATTCTCTTCCACATGCAACTCCTTTCAGAAATGACAACCTCAAAAGCACATCCTCCGTCAAGAAAAGTTCCACAGTTACTCCCTTTCCTCGGTGCAGATCAACCTAAGTTTGCTGAATTGAGAAACGCTGCCTGAGGATCACAAGCTTTTGACTTGAATGCAATTATGGGTTTCCTTCTGGAATCTGTAAGTGCTTAGGGTCAGTTTCTGCTAGCTGCAGCGAGACTTCAGGCTCTAAACCAGCACCCTCATGAGATGCAATTTTAATGGCACTTGGGCAGAAATACTTATTCTGGATGTCAACTTACTTGAACTATTTCCCAAGTGATATTTTAATAAAATTGTTTAGTTAAAATGTCATTGAAACAACTCTCAAAGTTTCTGATTGTCCTTTACCATTAGTCTTCATCCTCCCAACAGCTCTGCGGTCTGTCTCGTGAAACTCCTACTGTCTTGTTACCTCATTATTCCCTTCTAAAATTTCATCATTACAGCCCACTTCACACCTCCTCTACCACACTGACAAATGCTACTGTGACCTACAGTGCGTATTATAGTTCTAGTTATAGCTACAGAATCAAACCTACAAATCTATGTCCTGATCTGTCTGTGACTCGTAGGTCACCTTTGGCTGGCCCCTGATTTCTTTATACTTCAGCCTCCCCGCCCATAAAACTACTTTGTTCTTTAAGATTTATGGCTGAAAACCACAGAAGCTATATATTAATACTACTTATAAAGAGTTTCCAAGTGTGCTGCAACCTCTTTGAATGACTGAATCCATGCAGAGATTAATTATATCTGATAGACCTATAAATGAAATATCTGTAAAGGGCCCTGCTGGACCGTGGCTATCATCCAATGATCTAACATACTTGCTGCTTCTTCTACCTACTTGCTCAGTTATTCCTTGATGAAGAGGAATAGATATGAGGCACCCATGCATCTCCAACCTGAAATAAATTGCCCTTTTTTACTTCTTTGCTATGGTAGTATAAATGATGCTAAATGCATTTAACCTTCCTGTGGCAGGTTATCTTTCCTTGCAGGAAAAGAGACTTAGCCCAACTCTCCCTCCCCAAACTTCTTCGCAATACCCCTGACTGCATTCAGCTGGGTGCTGGGAGTTGAGACCAAAAGAACTGAAGCTCTGCCTCAGAACATTTGCCACCCACGTACTGCAACAGTGTTCAGGAGCTGAATCTTATTTGTGAGGCTTAGTTTCATTTCCAGTCCTTTGTGCCAAAATCCCAATGCGATGTAATTTGTGCACATCAGTGGTCACACAGTTTTGGCATTATTTGCTACACACTAGCCCTCTCTTAATCTGGCTTTGAGTCTATAGACATACCGCAGCAGAAGAACTTACAGCCACACAAATGTGTGGGGCTGTGGATGTGACAGAGGACATCAGGAGATGCATGTAGAGACATATTCAAGGGACTGTAAAAGGTATCAGAGAACTCTTACAATAAGAGACATTGAAATAGCACTGCAAAATGTATTAACTGTATTGTGACATCTGAGCAAAAACCCAGAACTGGAACCGGACAGCTTGCTTTGAATGCTTCATCGGGCATGTTTCTCTGTAATAAGCCAAAGTAAAAACCTAGCCAAACTACAGACTGGTAGACCATACTCTTTGGGCTAATTTGGGACTGAATGCAAGTCCATTTTAGTGCTTAGGTCTCTTTTGAATAGAAGGCAAGCAGCTCTGGGTTTTGTCATGATATATTTAGGCATGGGCTTTGAAAGAAAACTGATTCACTACCTTCATTCATGTTGAATTACAGCAAATCTAAAATTTACTCTCTACCCTCATTCACTACCCTCACTCATCTGAAAGACTTGAGAGTGATATTACAGTAACTCATTCTCCGAAGGAGAACGTGTCCACCTGTCACTTTTGACGTGGGACCGTGTCTGACATGGGACCAATGCCAATCTCAAAGGAGCGCCTTACGGAGTTCAGTTCTATTGTTTACATCAATTGTCCCATATATACTTGGGAAAGCCTAGTTTTTGTATTTGTGTCTCCCTTTTGCGTCTGTATTTGCCAAAAAGGGGCCGCAAAGGCAAAGAAGAGAGTCTTGGTTCTGGATGCTTGCCAGGAAAATGTGACTCCATCCCACCCTCTGCCCAAGGTAAAGGCTAAGAAATGTTCATCACGTGCGTCATCGGGTTCTCTCCCTCCCCGAGACTCCAAGTGTCGAACTGCAACCCAGCAAGCCTCAACCGGTGTCCAGAGTAATACTACAGCCAGCACAGGGTCACGAAACAAGCTGGAGTACCTAGCTCGATTATAAACTACCACGCTTATAAAGCAGCCTTTCGAAAAACACAGCCGAGTCTCACAGCTACCACACTGGGTAGCTTTGTGCTCCTTCTAAGAAGCTTCCACGCCTAAATCTTTGCTACCGGGACCGACTGCCCGCCCCCGTCCGCGGGATGCCTCAGCCCCGGCCGGGCTGCCGACCCCCGGCTGCGGCCGCAGCTCCCGCGGCCGAGCCCGGGACTCGGGGAGCCCGGCTGGAAGGGCCCAGGCACTGCACCCCATCTGACAGGCTAAACTCTCTTCCTCCTCCGCGCGTCCCCCGTCCCTCTCCCTTCCTAATAAAGTCGAAGTGAAAGCGGGTGCGGTCGGTTCCTGGAGGCTCTTCCCTCCTCTGCGCCCGAGGCGGGCGGCGGGAGGGCGCTGCCCGCAGCCCAGCCGCTCCCCCCCGAGGGGCCAGAAGGGCCACGGCCGCGGCAGCCCCCGCGGTGCGGCGGCGGAGC